GGTGGAATGAAGGCCGATGAAATAATGTGACTTGCGAGAATCTATCACCTCAGCCTGGAGACAGCATATATGAAAGCAGAACACGCACACAAACGCAAACGGATCTTCATTCAAAACTTTTGCTCCAGAGCTTGCCAACATGTTCAGTTTCCTGTCTCCCGAAAGCCTGAGAGGCTGCAAATGATGAAGCCGACAATGCATATCATCATGCCTCCACCTTCCACCCCCCACCCTCGATTTGGAAGCAGGCAGGAAAAAGCCCCAGAACAAAGGGTCAAAAACCCCCAAAAACATGCATTTGGCATGGTAAGAACCCTAAAAATATGCATTTGGCATGGAGCCGCAAGAGGGTGCGTGAACCACAACACCCAGGAAACCCAGTTTGGAACCTGGAACAATCTGGGTTTAACCTGCGTTCCAACCCAGGTTGAATTGGGTTTGTGGATTCAACCCGGGTAAACAGGTTTAAGTCTAGGCTGCAATCCAAGTTCTTGTGCCTCACGTGCCTCCGTAGTCCGGTTTGCACAAGGTTTGGGTTTACGTGTTCCTAGGCATTCTGCAATGAATTGCAATACACTACAGGCTGCCGTGGAAATCCACGCTCCTGAGAATGCTTCTGAGTTGTGCCATGTCGTAGATTTTCCAGGATGCGGCTCAGAGACTCTTTTATTGCAGAATCCCGTGTCTCACGTGTCTCCGACGTCCTATTTGCACAAGGTCTGGGTCTACGTGCCCCTCTGCATTCCGCAATAAAATGCAATGCACTATATCACCAGGATGCTGCTCACAGGCTCGTGTACTGCGGAATAAGGTGCCTCACAGTCACATGCTTCCCAATTCGTACTCCTACGAAAACTGTGGTCTCCGGAGACACTGGGACCATGACACTACACCTGGGGGTGGAATTGTTTCAGGAACTGACTTTGGGGCTGAGTTTCTTTAAAACACCGGTTAACTCCACCGACGGCCGAAGTGCACAATTCGTTGTTGCAAGGTCATCGAGTCATCCAGTCATTGTCTGCGCGTGTCTGGGCGAGGTGCTCTGCACCCGTGTGTTTGCTATAACACCGACCCGTGCTCATTGTTATACGATGCTATACCCACACTGAGCCGGACCCAGCTGCGAAACTCCGGCAGAATGTGGCGGGCTGTGCCGCATTAATTCCACTTTTGCCGCACCTTTTGTTGGAATTCGTTTCTTCTGGTGTCTTTTCGCTACGTGCTCTGACGACTCATATTTCTGAGTTACCCTCTGAGCCCTATTTAGCACGCCTTCGCTTAACATGCGTATCTTGCAGTCACATCCGAATAATGCAGAATATCCTAAGCCACACGTTGAATAATGCATCCGGCATTTTCCACGTAGCGCCCCTCTAACACATGGGGTATGTCTCGCTAGCTTTGGACTTGCCGTCCGAGAGACAAGCAGAACAGATATCAACAAGTTTTGGATGAAAGAGCCCGGAACAAAGTACAAGTCATGCATCTGTCCTTACGGTGGAAAATACAAGGACAACGGGAGCGCACACACGATGATCTATTCAAGTTCTTCCGCTCTGTTTTTGTCGAAGGTCGAGTTGTGTTTGTCAAGCCGTCTTTGGACTTTTGCTCCGGCCAAGGTCATGCTTGCACACCGTGGCAGCCGGACGAATATGTTGAAAAAAGGCATCACCTCAAGGTCCCCGACAGAAGTGCTGTCCTTCACAGTATGTGAATGCTTGCGCAAGCCGTCCGCTGTAAGCTGTTTCATTCCATGTTGCATGATTTTGAATGTCCCCGGCAGAAAGTTGAACCTAAAGCTGACACATGAAACGTCATTGTATGATGTGCTTCATCTGTGCACATGCCACGCCTCGTCCGTGAGTCATGCTCGCCACAGCCTCCCACGGCGGCTGGCGGACCCAGGCAGAGACATGCGTAGGGTCACTCAAGGTACCCGGCATCTGGCAAGATGAGCATGCATCTCGCAGCCGAGCGTCGCCTGATTGGTGGAAGGTTGCGGCCAAAGTCTCTCTAAAGCAGTGTCGTTTGCAGGCCAGGAGGGCTCCCGGCGCAAGGGCTCCCAAGAGCGCCTGCTTAACGGAGGCCCTGGATCATCTTGGAAAAGTCATGTCATGTCTGAGAATCTGACAGAGTTCTTTCTATCTTGCGATTTTCGCAGCTGTGAGCCATTTCAAACGTGATCCGGTCCGACGCCGCATGTTTATGGCAGCAACAGTGAGTGGAGCAGCGACGCTGCCTGACCCAATTCCGGGGTTATCATTTCAGCAGCTGCCGCAGGGGGCGCGGCAGTGTGTGTGATCTGATAAGGTCGTTGTCGCCTTCGCAGCTACGCTCAATGGCCGGGAGCTTCGTAGGCCCAGCCTGGGTGCTTCCAGTGTGGGTCGGTTGGCGGACTTTCCGATGCAGGCGAGAGCCTCACGGTGGACGTGCTCAATGTCATGGGCCACGCCCACAGCGATGTTCCTGTTTTGTTGCCGATGCTCCGCATGTGAGCCCCAGAGCCCAGGTATTCGTCCTCCTCCTGGTTTGTCGGCGCAAACAACAGGCTCTTCTTTTCTCGATTCCAGTGCATGGCGTTCGGGCTTGTTATTGTTGAGCATTGAGAGTTTTCCTGTCTTTGGGAGGTGCAAGCACCGAGCCGTGGAGCACCAGCGACGAGGGACATGAGTGTTTTCTGTGCCGCTGCTCCTTGGTTGGGAAAGGTACCGCCTGCAGTAATAGCCCAGCAGCTCTTTCCTGCAGGCTTGTAACATCGCCCTTGAATGCTCATTGCTGCGTCCTATGTTAGAGCACAGTGAGCAGATTGATTGCAGTGTTTCCTCTTTCGATGATATGCGCCACGGTACTGCGCACAGGGCTATCTGCCTTGGCTGCCTTGTAGAGCGAGGCTGCCACAACGGCCGGGTCAAGCCCGACAAGAAGCAGCGGGCCACCGTGAAGTCCATGAGTGCCTGGGCATGCCTTGCGTGGGGCTCCAGCTTCCGACATGCCTGCAGGATGGCCGTTCCTGCTGCTGAGGTGAAACACAGCTTCTCGACTTGCTCTTGGCGCAACTCTCCATGCGTGCTCAAGAAGCAGGTCGTTTCGACACCCTCTTCCCGGTCCTGCAGGCGATCCACCGTCGTCTGGCAGTCTCATCGACAGGCGAGTCCCATATATCCGGTGCATCGTTGCGCAACTTGGAGAAGATGATGGCAAAGATGAGCTGCCAGCAGATGATCTTCTTTGCGGAAAAGAACCCGAACGTGAACAGTGGCATCATGCAGTTGGTGAAGGATCAGCTGAGAGGCAGCTGCCCTACCACACCCTTCGACTTGCCTTGTTCCTCCGTCTGGCTGTGAGAAGCTCACAAAATGTAGACTTTAGACTCTCGGATATTGCGGGATGATTCTTGTCCAGTCGCTCCCGAAGGGAACTACCGGACTGGAAAGGAAACTCGGATGCGCACGTAACGCGGTTGGAGAGGCTGCAAGGCGTTTGTCCTTGGAAGTTGGAAGTGTGTGGAGATTGTAGGCGGTGTGGATGGCCCCAGGTTTCTCCAAGCTTTCGCGACAGTCCATGCGTTTTTGTGTCTTCGTCAACTTGACTTCTTATTACAAGGGCGAGTGAAGAGAAGCATTTGACTGTGGACTGTCAATCTGTCAACAATGTATTGAGCGCATCGGTCCGAGCCGATTGGACCCTGTGGCTGCAGAGCGGCTCTTTGTCCGTCGATTCGATTGCTGAAACGGCGCTCAACCGTAGACGCCGTAGATGGTGAGCGGCTGTGATGCCGATTGTATTTCTGGGCTCGGGGCCTCCTTAGCGCCCAGTATCCCTCTTCCGTGTTGGCCCTTACTGCGCGAGCACGCCTTCAACATTTCAAGAATGACAATTTTTGACAGCGAAGATGCCTTTCAAAAAGCCACGGGACCGGCATGCGTGCTTGCAGTGCTTGCAGTTGAAGTCTTGGCCTGAAACCACGAGAGCCTTCAAAAAGGCACGTTGAAATAGATGAATGAACGGATATATTTTTATATACATATACATATATAGACATATGTATATGTACATGTATATATGTGTGTATATATATATATATACATATACAGATAGCTAATCATTTGTTTTCTCTCGCTGTCCCTCTAGCTGTCTCGCTCGCTCTCTCTTTCTCTCTCTCTCTCTCCATATATATATATATATAATATTATATATAATCTTTATAATATATATATATACACATTATATTATATATAATCTTTATAATACATATATATATATATATACTCTCCGCCTTGACGAGGCCTTCGGTCCTCGGGCAGTCAAGGCCGGCGCCCAGGCTTTGAAGGCGCAGAGGAGGGGATGTAGACTGGGAAGATTGCAGAGTATCCTTGAAGCCTCCTGACTCGCGGGGTATATTATACTAAGAGTATAATAAGGAACCGCCACAATAGTATAACTATAGCTGTTTTGAGAAGTTTTCTGTAGAGTGTGTGCTTTTCTTTGCCAGGTCGCCGGAGCCGGAGCCCTTGGAGCTGCCGTCCGTCGCCGCCATCGCGGCGCAGAGGGACGCTCGCAGCTTTTCAGCGGAGACCCGGGCAGGTCCCCGGTGCTTGGGATGGGTGGGCTCCTGTCTAGGACATGTCGGCTTCGTGTCCTGGGCGACCTCCAGCCCTGCTTCTGATAGCAGCACGACTTCCACTTACGTGTCTCTGCAGCCGGGGACCTGCAGTTTAGAGGGGGAAGAACTCCGATGGTGCTGGCCATGGACATCAACATGCCACCTGACTTGATGTGTAGGGCGGCCTTTGTCCTCATGTCCATATCTTGTTAAACTATCGCAACAGCTTTGTCGGCACGGGCGCTGCAATCACGCCTCTACGGAGAATTGCAGCTGTCATGCGGCCGAGGCGTTTGTCGTTCTTGCAAGCCAGCCCAACTCTGCTAGCGGCTCGCCGCGAAGGCGGGCCTTCTAAGTGCCGCAAACCTGTGTTGTCCCCCGGCGCAACAGAAAGAGCTACTTCCGCGCTAAAAGATGCAGGTCTCCAGCGAAGTCTTCTCGACAAGTGACGCTTGACTGGAGAAGTGGCCGCTTCCGTTCGTTTTATTACGAGATTCGCAGCGATGCACACTACTCGTAGCGCGTCAAGCTCATGACTATGCATCTCAGATGGGCTCCCAGTTCTTGATGTACAAGCCCCGATGCCGGCTGTACTTGGAGATTCTGACGAGCATTCTGACACTGTCTGTTCCTTTTGCCAAGGCTTCGTGACTGAAGCATACTGAGGGTGAAGCCAGGAAGGGTGAAGCCAGCCATGCAGAAGTGCTTCCGAAACGGGAGAGAGCGAGGCTGCCACAACGGCCGGGTCAAGCCCGACAAGAAGCAGCGGGCCACCGTGAAGTCCATGAGTGCCTGGGCATGCCTTGCGCGGGGCTCCAGCTTCCGACATGCCTGCAGGATGGCCGTTCCTGCTGCTGAGGTGAAACACAGCTTCTCGACTTGCTCTTGGCGCAACTCTCCATGCGTGCTCAAGATGCAGGTCGTTTCGACACCCTCTTCCCGGTCCTGCAGGCGATCCACCGTCGTCTGGCAGTCTCATCGACAGGCGAGTCCCATATATCCGGTGCATCGTTGCGCAACTTGGAGAAGGTGATGTCAAAGATGAGCTGCCAGCAGATGATCTTCTTCGCCAAAAAGAACCCGCAAGCGGACCCTGGCCTTCTACAGTCGGTGATGGACCAGCTGACAGGCCGCGCGAAGTCGCCCGTGAGCTTTCCTGGCTCCTCCGTCTGGCTGTAAGTCAGAGACGGTGAGCGAGTCGTTGCAACGCAGGACGTCTTTGTTCGGCGGACAGCAGGGACTGCACTAGACGACACCATAGGCTATCATGGACTATGACTATCGACGACTGGTGCAGGTACTGAGAGGCAAGCACAAAACAATGGCTCACACGACCGATGGCTTCTGCAGGGTTGAATGACGTTGAATGCGTAGTTCAATCCATGCTTGGAAGGGCATGATACATCTCAGTTAGCTCAGAAGATGTCAGAAGATTGGCTCGTGTAGAATTCGCACAGCTTGAGCAGCTTGAACAGAAGCATGCTCGTGTGGGTTGTGATAGTGAGAGGGGCTGCAAGGGTGTGGCAAAGCATCGGGAACAACGGACCACGGTCCGCGAGAATGCTTTTCAAAGCTCCTCCCACCGCAACCCTGTCGGTTGACCTTATGTGGTCACGGGATGTACCGGGCTCCCCACAGGTTCGAGCCCTTGAGTGGCGAGCTGTCTTTGTGACGGTGAGAGGGCTGAGGGTTGTTCTGCAGCATCGGGAGCCATGGACTACGGCCAGCGACAATGCTTTTCAAGTTCCTCCCACCGCAGCCATGTCGGTTAATCTGGCCAGTTGTGGTCATGGGTTGTACCCGGTCCCCCGGAGGTTCGACCCCTTGCAGAATTGTAATCCTGCTGCCTGCCATTTTTGGCGATGTTTGCACGAGGGGACTGGTTACAATCGGCGAGCGTTTCTGCTCAAGTGCCGTTGACCGATGCATATACTTTCGATTGCTGGGCCCGACGGAAGAAGAGTGGTCGGCGAGGGTGTCAACAAAAAGCTCCTCCCCAGTGTTTTCACATTTGGTTGGCTTCTCGAGCCCTCGTCGCCCCGGTTTCCAACTCTTTCGAAATGCCCAGCATGACAGGCTCGCACCTTGTGCATTTCGCCCGCCCGGTTTCCTCGGGGGGGGCATCCGTTCCTGATCAGGGGAATCATTCAACGATCCCTTGCCTTTGTGTTTAGTGATCTACATCATCCGGTCCTGCGGAGGGGATCGAAAGGATCCGAATCTGAATGAGGCTTAGTTTTTGTGTCGACCTCTGGCACACGATGCCAGGGTTCGGCACTGCAAGGCAGAACCTTGGCCGTTGCCGCAGTCATGTGAGAAAAACTTCTGGCTGCACAGCCTCAGTGCTTGCAGCGTGCAATTCTGGGAAGGGGACTGGCGTTGCAATGACATCTTTTATGCACTGCATAGACTCACAGACCAGCCTGCATGGCAGTCGCTGCTACGCCGTGCAGTCCATCCCGGGCAAAGGCTTCAGTGGATCTCATGACTGAGTTGCCGTAGGTCTTGCAAGTTGTAGGCAGTCGGGCAATCTCGATCCACGCGCAGTTCGGAGCCATTTTATCTTCTGCGGAAAGCTCGAAGTTTCAGAGAGTGAACGGCCAGGTGCCGGAGCCGTCGCTATTCGACCTCTGACTGCTGGTGAGCTTTTGGCTGAAGAGGCCCCTGGCTGGGGATCTCTGCTGTTTGCAGAACCTGTTGCTGTCCCAGGACTCGTTTCGACTTCCCCCGCTGAATCTGAAACCCCAATGCTAGGCCCGCCCCGAGGGCTCGGAGGAGGGGCGACCCGAGCGTCCAAGGAACTGACCTTGTTGGAGCCCGAGTCTCTGAAGAGCCAAATGCGTTCGCCGCTTCAGGCTCTGCCGTCGAGCGTCGTTTTTTTTGGGACGTCGTCCCCTGGTCCTCCGGTCCCCTGTCTGCTGAACGTGTAGCATGTAAATATTTGTTTTTTTTCCCGGCTTGGATGAGTCGTGTCTGCCCTTGCGATCCTGGCCATTCTATTGAGGCGCGTACGGACGGGCCGCCCCTTTTCGGTGTTTGAATGGCTTGCAATGCTGTGATGCAGTCAACCCGGCGCATACAATCAAACGCGAACCAACGCCCAAAAGCACCCACCAACAAGAAACACTGCCTAAAGTCATTGTCGGCCAATTTGTCAGGTTTGCATGCTTTCCTATTCACATAGCTTTCGCCCTGGCCAGGAACCGCTCCTGCAGTGGTCTGGTGAAGATCAGGATGGAATTTGTGGTATTTGGCTACAGCATCGTTTGCTTGCCTGCTGCGACAAGCATGTCACATTGAACGTTTCATGCGTGCGGATATGTTGCGTATCAGGAGCAGTTGCAGCAGCTTTTTGATGCGCTGCCGCTTCACAAGCAGAGTGCAATGATGGACTTGCAGGCAGCAAGGGACCATGCACAACTGACAGAAAGGTTGTGGAGCGTGGATGCTCAACCTGGCAGGACAGCTTTGCACAGAACGACTCAGAGAAAACGCCCCTCGCAGCTGCACAAGTTCGAGCTTACAGTGGATCGTGGTAACTGCGACCACTGAGGCTGCTCGGCGTAGCTTGCACAAATGCCTTCAACTTCCAAAACGAAGAGGATGAGCGTTGCTTGCTTCATGGCAAAAAAACTTCGTTGACGGTTTAGGGTTTAGGGTTTAGGGTTTAGGGGCCTGTCTCAGAGGATATCTGACGAGTTCAGAAGCTGCTTCCCAAATGTTTGTGTTGGAATATGGGGGTTTCAGAAAACAAGGGGTACCTTATATTTTGGGGTCCTTATAATAAGGATCCTAGTATATATTGAGGTCCCCTATTTTCGGAAACCCCCATATGTTGAAGGTGTATCATTATCGGTCAGATCACTCTCGAGGGGCATTGATGTCTCTTCTCGTGGAACCTAGGTCATCGTTGCTATTTCCGACCGATTGACATCGAAGTTTTGTTTCTGTCATCTCACCCTGTTGGCAGAAATTTGGTAATGCAGCACAGCTTCGATTGCAGCCCGATGTGGTGAGGGCATGTGGAAAGCCCAGTCGGAACCCGCAGCCCGAGCCACGGCTTGCCGTCCCGTGAAGTCACATCGACAAGAGTGCACCCAATAGCAAACACATGCGGCAGAAGTAACCCACCGTGCAGCAAGTGCAGAAGCCAGGCACATAAACGACTGCGACGGCGCGATTGCAAAGAAATTCATGAGCCCCGACACCTGACCTCACGGGCACGCTGCAAGCCGGTTGAAGGTGAATGGACAACAACTGAAGCAGAACTCCGGAGTCAGCAGGTGGCGAGGCTCTTTCAATGAGGGGGGTGTCGGCGCAGAGAACGGCGCTCGTCGCTATCGCGAACACAAGGCCGTCAACACTTCAGACCAAGGCTGCCAAGCGAAATCTTCAGTCATTTGCAGTGTGCCCGCTGACTGAATGGCAGGTGCCAAGGTACATTCTTGCTAGTATTCTCGCTCGTGGTTGCTGTTCTGTGTACACATCAGCCACAACTTGCTGAAAGCCATACAGAGAAGAGAGACTGATTATTGATAAGCCTAATTTCAACCGCAGGTAGCACCCCACGGCTGGGACGTGGCAGTCAAGATCATTTCACAGCCACGGCCGAAAACGCAAACATATGCCAACAGAACAGGGAAGCATGCGCATGCAGTTGGGACTGTTTCTTCCAAGTCTTCCAAGCATGAACGGGATTTCTTCCACTGTGAAGGGGATCCTCCTCAAGCATCGCAAGCATCAGGTATCTGGAGATCAGCCGCTTCAACCATTCCTGCCGCCCGAATTGTGAAGGAAGCTGGGACGATCGGCTAGGCAGGCTCATGGTTCCAACCAGTTCCTAAGTTATCTGTGCGAGCCGCACGACCATGCATATTGCCTCGGCGAGGCTTGCTGCAAGTCTACGCTTGTGAGGCCCGCTTACTGATATGGCAGAGGTGTTGGTGGATTGGATGTTTCTTGCTGCCTGGATCTAAGGATATCCCATCAGGAGATGAACTGTGTCTCTTCTACACAGATGTTCGCAAACCACGGCAGCTGCGGCAGGATTCCACCAGACACTGACGGCCACTAGATTATGGGCATTGTTCGCGTTGTCCCAGGAGAAACTGCAGACACTGGGCTTCACGTGCGCCTGTCCAGTGTGTCGTGCTGCAGGCTCGGACATGCTCAGACAAGATGATTGTTGCAATAATTACTTTAATTTGTTTGGGTTGTATATTTATAAGTCGTAATGGCAACCTCAATAATGAAGCCGCCACACCCCCCCGCCCAACCCCTTCGGTTGATTTCAGGCCCCCGCCGGACCAGGGACTGGATGATTATTGAGTTTTCGGGATTGTGTTCTTTCGATGAGGGGTCGACAACTGAGTTTCCGGACTGAAGTTTTATTTCAATCCAGGGCGGGTTGATTAAAGTGAGGGTAACATGATTGCCATACTGGTACCATGCCAGTCGCCCAAGATTCAACCCTATTTAAGAGCCTCCGGCTCAGGCCGCCGACCCCGTGGGCGACAGACCAAAAGCCGAATCCCTAAACCACCCCCAAGACCTAAGCTGATTGTCCATGCGCAAGCCTTGAGCGTCAAAGCGTGGAAGCACGGAAGCCCATGCGGCGTCTCGGAGGTCTGGGTTAAGGGGAGGGGTACTTGGGCCATGAGCG